GCGTGACATATCATGTTGGTCAAGCATATCAACATATCTCATACATAGGCCACAGTATTATTTCCCCCGGGCGAGGGCCTGTGCCACGGTATTATTTCCCCCGCGCTAGGGCTTTCATGACCATAAGCCACAGTATTATATCCCCTGGACGAGGGCCTCCGCTAAAGATACCACAATTACGTTCAAAGAGGATTTTGGGCAATCATTCATTCATATCATCAGAAAATGTTTAAAGCTAAACATAACCTTACAGAGTTATTACTCACCATCTGATTAAACTTGCATTATACCTTATACCAAAGATTCACAAGTATGCATATATCAAAAAGCATACATATTTCAATGGTTTACAACGCAAGCGAATCACAAACTTATAATACATAATCGTTCGCATTAAACATTTAAGCGTATTCTTGATGCTTTCAGATTCATATTATCACATGAATGCATCCTAGATCTTTTCTAGACGCTTATTGCTCTTTTGGACAAGTGCGTGAGTTATTAACTCGTGCTCTGATACCACTCTGTCACGACCCGAACCCGCCCCCATGGGTTAAGGACGCAACCGGCCAGTAATCCTAAGATTACCTACGGCCTCAAACCAAAACAGACTTAACACATCAGAGTAAAGCGGGCCAAAAGGGAAGCCAAATTTCAAACTTTGTCCATAGAGCTGTGCTTACATGGCACATCAAAACAAACCATACATATGTACGTTAATAACTCACAACAGAAACATAGCGACATAGGTTCTGTACAGACAGGATCATCCAAACTAAGTCAACCCATAAAAACTATAAGCAGACATATACAAAACTTCGCCAACCTGACAAAATGAAAATACATAACAAAAGGGCAAAGACGGGTCTCGTGCGTGAGACACAAGGGATGACTCTCTCAAAACCTTAGTCGTTCCATACAGACTTCACTGAGACTGGGTCTGGACTTCTCTTGGCTCACCTACAAACACATAAATGAGTGTGAGTGATAGCCCAGTGAATAATATCAAGTATAACAATTACATAACAATATGTAGATCAACATGCTCCAAACGGCCTTGGGCCCAATTCATACTTCTGTTTAACAGCAAAATATATATAACTATACGAAATGCAAGTCAAGTAGCTGTAGTTCCAAACATTCTGGCCTTTGGCCCATTCATTCATGTCAAACGGCCTTTGGCCCATTCATTCGTGTCAAACGGCCTTTGGCCCATTCATTCGTGTCAAACGGCCTTTGGCCCATTCATTCGTGTCAAACGGCCTTTGGCCCATTCATTCGTGTCAAACGGCCTTTGGCCCATTCATTCGTGTCAAACGGCCTTTGGCCCATTCATTCGTGTCAAACGGCCTTTGGCCCATTCATTCGTGTCAAACGGCCTTTGGCCCATTCATTCATTTATTCTTGTCAGACTTTTGTCCACAATCCCAATTAACAACTCATAATATTTATAGGGGAATAACAATTGGACATTGACAAGTTTTCAAATATTGATATTACTCACAGTGATCGGCTTGTGGATTTTCCCTGGAGCTTGACCCTACACGTTTCATGAACACAAAAGGGTCATTAACAGTTCAATCCGTTCTTTAATTCACATATTCCTCTTTAGGCTTTATTATTATCTCATTAACTCATTTACAATGCTTAACATATGCCTAAGAGTGCTTACAAGTGAAAGAGAACGGAAAAATATAACACAGAATGCGTTTTCAAAGTTTCAGAAAACAGGGTCCCCGCTCGAGCGTGGACTTCCCCGCTCGAGCGGACCCTTAAGCCTGCAAAAGTGCTGGTTACATCAAAAATACGCTCGAGCGTGAAATAGGATGCTCGAGCGGAAGGCCTATCAAAATAGCTCCCCCGCTTAAGCGTGAATTACCCTGCTCGAGCGGACATCAAGTCTGCAAAAAGTACTGGGAGCACGCATTTCTCGCTCGAGCGGCAGGTTCCCCGCTCGAGCGGACCTCAAAATTCTAGAAAACCCAGAACTGTGTTCTTGAGCTCCAATTCGATTTTCAACCAACAAAACATGCATGTTATGGCTCAAATCTCAAATATAGTTATGCTAACATGCCATAGACTCCAAAACACATTACAATGGAGCCCAATTCACAATTAATTCACATGCATGCCCCAATCTCCCATCAACTCATTCTAATATAAACCAAAATCATACATTCAAAGCCCATCTCTTAATTATTCAAACATGCATGCTAATCTTGATTTCATTTCCATCCCAAACAATGCAAATGGTGTTCATTCTCATGGAACACAACAAAAGCATGCTTGCATGTAAGATTTAACACTTTTATTTCCATGTTTAACTCAATACATGCTAGATTATACATTTTCACTACAATTATATACATGCATGCCTTCATTGACCTTCAATTGAACACAAACAACTCAATTTCCTTATAATCAAGCTAATTCATGTTCTTGGCCATTAACCACACTTGAATTTACAAATTTGCAAACAAAAATCCATGAGTTTACTTACCTAAGAGTTCAATCTCCCAAACTATCACAAAATCTTGGGTTTGATCTTCAAGTTCCCCAAACTTTGAGCCAAAATCACCCAATTCTCCCCCTCTCTTTCTAACAGCCGGCCCTCTCTTTTTTTCTTAGAGTTTGATCAGCCAAGGGAGTTATGATGAGAGAATACAAGGTGTAGTGCTGTCATACAACAAACCCCACTAATATAATATTTTAATATAAAATATTTGGGCACTTAATTCATCAATTTAATCAGTTTAATCTGACCAGAATTAATTTCTAATTAAATTTCACCGTAGGCTCTAAAAATTATGCCAACCACAGTGGCGTAATCAATTTCGGGTTCTGTGGCCGATAAGGCCCTCAATTTAATTTTCAGAGCAAATTATTCAAACAAATATTCCTACGATGAACAGGTAAAATTCCAAAGTCGCATATATTCACATAATGGCATACAAAAATCATATCAAAACATATAATCACATACGTATTAGGGACCAATTAGCATATTACGGAACAGGGGCATCACAAGTATGTTTTTCCCATACTCGTTTAAATGACCGAATTACCGAATGTGACTAACTTACCTAGCAAAAGATCTAATAAACGGGAAATGATAAGGGGTTGGCAATGGGTGATGTTTATCTTAGTGTTTTAGAACAATTTTATACATATGCATGACATGAATTAGGATGGGATTAATACCAAATGAGTTAAGTCTTGCGTAAGCAGTTTAGGCGAGCCCCTAGGTTGACCCGGATGTATTCAGACTCTATGCGGTGGTTTCAGGGTGTAAGCGAGCCCTAAGCACGAATTTGTATGGTATGTGCAGGGTGTAAGCGAGCCCGAGGCACGATTTGGGTGTAAGCGAGCCCACTTGTTGGCCGTCCCTTTTGAGGTCCATCAATGCCACTGACAGGTAAATAACCGGGAGGTGGGCATGGGTGGTAAGGTCTGCAAAGCAGCAAAAGGGGGAGTTCTGAGTAGTCCAGTGTTTAATCTTGTGGTTGGGTAGAAGGATCTCTTTGGAGGGAATTCTAAATGCCTAGTCTAACTACTAATTTATAAAACCTTAATGGAAGTATGTTATGTTATCTGATTTGTTTTGTGTATGATTGATTGATAGAAGATATGGAGGTGTGTGTGTTTTTACTGGGCATTCCAAGCTCATGGCGTGTCATGCCAGGTGAAGAAGCAGCTTACGACGGGGAAGGTGATCCCGAAGACAATCAAGATGAAGTTTTAGAGCCATGGTTCACTTGAAAACTTGGACTAGTAGTTTGTTTTTGTGTTCTCTCTTCTTTTACCTTTTGGTTTGGCAATGTTTGTAAACCTCTAGCGGAACTCAAATCAGTTATCTATGTTATAACTCTGCTTGTATGTGTATATTAACATATTGTGGTTATCTCTTTTGTTTGAGTTGTACTTTATATATTTCTCTTGCGGTCTCAAAATTTTGGGGCGTGACAAATTGGTATCAGAGCCCTAGGTTCAACCCTTAACGCACGCGTGTTGACTTGTGATTTTAGATATCCTTGCCTTTTACATTACTACTTTCTGTTAACATTATACTATATCATATTAAAGGTGGACTAAAAAAAAAAATTTGTTTACCTACCGTAGGATGGATTCTGCGTCAGAAAGCGTTGATGACTGGGGAGTTTTTTGTTTCCAGAATAGGCGGGCAGTAGCTGTTAGTCCACAAAGACTTAACCGACGGTGTCAATTAGGAGCGGAGTGCGTGATAAAGAAAGCTATTCGGAAAACAGAGGAGGATTTTTCATACTACACCACGCAAGCAAGATGAGCGTTGGTACACCGACGCCTCCAGTGCAAATACCGGGAGCTTAGGTTCGCTCTACAGATAGAGCGAAATGGTCGGACTTTTGCTGAGCTTAGGCAAGAGGTATTGGCTAAGGATCCGCATCCAGTGATGCGTCGCGTTGGACCCGAGAGCTGTGGCTCTCATCATCCTGAGTTAGAGGTTCCTTTTGTCTCGGTACATCTCGGAGCTTCCCCTACATTCCCTATAGAGGTGTCGTCAGAGTACTCCCCTACACCAGCCCAGCAGTTTCCAGCTTCCCCGACATATGCTCGTTTACCACCAGAGGATCCCGAAGAAGATCCCGAAGAAGACCCAGAGGAATCGTTTGACTTAGGGCTGTAGTAGTCATGGGACGAACCTTTTTGTGTACCTTTGTAAATAGTGTTTTGTGTGGTTGAAACGTGTTTTGTTTTGGTGTATACACGCTACACGCTAACCTAGATAGTGTAACCCTTTGTAAGAAGAAGTTATATGTGTATATATAAAATATCTAGTTGGTTATTCCAGTATATTGTATGTTATTTTATTTTATTTTGCTTGGTTTAATTGCATCATCCATTTAGAAAAATAAAATTAAAGTAATTAATTACACCTCGGACCACATTAAATTAGCCTATTTATTGAACACCTCTTCACCTCCACAACAACCCTAAGCTTATATTACCCACAAACTTGGCAGATGGCGGACAATGTGGAAGCAAACGATCAAGTAAGACACCGACGAGGACGTCCAGCTCGCAATCAAGGCGTTAATCGCGGTAGACCTATTCCTGTTGAGGAGTTGCCAAGACCAGTCGGAAACCAGATTCTTGAAGAGTTAGGAAGGCTTAGAAGAACGCAACCAAATGAGCGAATATATTTGTTATCTGAGTTCAGAAAGCAAAGACCGCCAGTGTTCACAGGTGAGCCTGACCCGAGAGTTGCTGAGAGCTGGATTCGTCAAATAGAAAAGATGTTGGAAACCATGGGTATTACTATGCATACAGACAAGATCGCCCTGGCAAGTTATCAGCTAGAAGGAGAAGCGGATCATTGGTGGTCCTTGATGAAAAATTCTCGGGACACGACAAGCATGACTTGGGCTCAGTTCAAAGAATTGTTTCTAAGAAAATATTTCCCAAACACAGTTAGACAAGAGCGAATTTGGCAATTTCAAACTTTGAAACAGGGTGAGATGTCAGTGACTCAGTATGTGGCCAAGTTTGAAGAGCTGGCTCGATACGCAGCTCGATACGTCGTAGATGAGGAAGAGAAAGCACGAAAATTCGAGTGGGGTTTAGACCCTATTATTAGAGGTAAAGTGTTACCCTTGCGCCTCCATACATTTGCTGATGTGGTGGATACGGCATTGGATATAGAAAGAGAGTGCACAGACTCAAAAAGGATTTGGATGATGAAAACGAAGAAAGGGGGTCAGTCCTTTGTAGGGCCAAGAAGAAATGACCGAAGGAATGTGGTACGGACACCATACATCAGACCGTCGCAACAGCTGCAACAGAAAGGGAGTTTACAAACCAAGCCTATTACACAAATCCAATGCTTTCACTGTCTTGGCACTGGCTTTGGTAATGGCTTCAAGAAGCTGAACCATTACTTCCAGGCTCATAAAATTGTGGTGCTAACTGAACACCCCTTGAAGTCCTTGTTGCAACAAGGAGACTTGACAAGAAGAATAGTCAATTTCATGTCATTACTGGGCCAGTATGACCTGGAGTACAGACCCAGAACAGCAATCAAAGGCCAAGTTCTGGCCGACTTCGTGGCTGAGTTTACACCAGAATCTATCGAACATCGGGCTCCGTAGAGCCATGATGAGCGATATCCAACCAAGCAAGGAGAAGCACAACCAAAGGCAAAAGAACAAAGAAAAGAGAACAAACTCAGACCCTGCAGCATTTACATCGGCGACTCCTTTCGACTGTTCGTTGATGGGAGTTCAAACC